TGGGTGAAAGCCCTTTTAAGATTGGTGAGGTGGCAATCCCTGGTGTTCTCTTCAGTACAAATGTGGTGGTATCTGAGGGCTTGGCTGTATATCACAGCTTTTTTGGTGTGTTTCGGGTGATTGCTGATTCTGTGCAGATATGTATGTTTGTCTGTGGGTTTCTTGTATACTGTGGTCTGTATTTTACCCTTCTGGATACTGATCATTGTGTCTAAAAAGGAGATGTTGGTGCTGGAGTATTCTGAAGAAAGTCGGATGGAGGGATGGTGACTGTTGAATTTCTGGTGGAACTCAATCAGAGATTGCAGGTTCTCAGTCCAAATGATGAAGATGTCATCGATGTATCTTAAGTATAGCAAGGGTTTGATGGTGCAGTTCTTAAGGAAATCTTCTTCCAGGTGGCTCATAAAAAGGTTGGCATACTGTGAGGCCATTTTAGTGCAGACCACAGTATACAAGAAACCCACAGACCAACATACATATCTGCACAGAACCAGCAATCACCCTAAACACACCAAAAAAGCTGCAGTGGGAACAGTCTCAAAGCCCTGTAATAGTTTCTAGTGCATATGCCCCTTGCTCTTTGCATCCTTCCAGGTCACCCCAGAAGAGTGTAAAGGGTGGGAGAGATGTTCCAGCTCCAGGAAAATGCCCTTCTGCCCATACTGCTAATCAGCTGCTTGGTGGGGGAGGGCATTCTCCAGTGGTGGGAATTGTTCTGGAGTTCTGGGAGGGTTCTACTTGCCGGAGAATGCCTCACGTTTCATGTACCTTCTGGGTCACCTAGGAGGGGTGTATGGGGTGAGAGGCAGAGGCAGTGGAGCTGGACTGTTCCCATTGTGGAACTGGTCCAGCTGTGGGAGATGGCTTCCACCCATGCACAGCCTAGTTCCCTGGTCTGGATTGTGGCAGAAGGTAGATGCCTGGAGCTTGAACCTTCCCAGGAAAGTTCCAGCTTGGGGGAATGCCCTCCTACCCCACCCCTCTGTGGTTCTGGAAGGACCTGAGTTTGTGCAGTGGCTGGGGGCGTAGGCACATTGGTAGGGTCTCCACAGAGTGCCTTTACAGCTTGCCCATGAATGGGCCTTCAAGGAGCCAGTACTCTTTCCTCCCTTTCATTTGGAGGAAGGGAGAGCAGAAGACTGTCGTATACTAGGTATCCTCAATACCCAAGAGATGTGTACAGCCATTCAAGTTGGTGTGGGAAGGGAGAGATGGACCTTGCTTGAAGAAAGAGCTCTTCTTGCAGAGGGGCCAGTTCTCTTCCACAAGAAACTCCTTGAATGGTTGTACATTCTCTTTTTGTACAGGAGAAAGGTTTCTCTTGGCACAGATGTAACTCCTGTATATGACTTTAGATATCATGTGCCCAAGAATAAATGGGGAAGGAATTCTAGCAGAGCTGTCAACGTGTTGGGCTGTTGGAGGAGTCTCCTGTACTTGTGCTGAGTCACCATATTAACCTTGCTGGCTGTAGTTGAGCTCTTGACAAATAGTATGTGTTTAATTCATTAAAGATTAGGAATATTTTTTTCCTTTCAAAGTCTCTCATAGTTGATTAGGAGCTAAGCTTTCATTTCACAATTTTTTTCTGCTACTTCTCTTTAGCAATTTTCAGACTACTTTGTATGTCTGAGAGTCCTCTGTCTTCTACCTGCAACCAGAAGGAGGTCTGCCTGCTCTTTCAGAGAGGAAGAAATGTAGCCTCTCCTAGCAGTGCAGCAAACCTTGCTTTTAGGAGCCCTCTTTAGTAGCTTTTTTTGAGGGAGGATGGTGGTAAATCTAGATGTGTTTAGAATTTCGTATGTCTGCAGTCAGGAAAACCATGTTATCTGACTGAGGTGAAGATCTGTTGTATTGTTTAGTTGCTGAATGCCTGTAGTGCTGAAACTATGACCTACCTTTAATGACCAAGTCTCAAAGCTAGACACACAAGTTCATGCAGCTAAGTAGCTATTGCTTCTTATCATGATTTGACAAATAACAAAATGCTATCTATTCCTCTTCTCAAGAAGTTCCTTCATCTTTGCTTGTTCAGACTCCCCTCCTGTCATTGAGATGAGATATAACACTAATCCTGTGTAAGGTGGTGGACCCATTTTTAATACCTGAGTGAGTTTTTACTCTGCTTGCTGCTTCTCAAGATCTTATTTCTGGACAAGGTGATAGCAGAACAAGACAGTTGCTCATGCTAAACTTACAAGGATCCATCCTCCTCAAACATGTCTTCCCTTTCTTTAAAAAAAAAAAAAAATGGCATTAGAACTGTGGGGCAGCAAACTCTTTTCCCTTTCCATCTTTTTAGTATGCCCCTTGGTAGTAGTATTAATGCTCTTTGGATTTGCGACACTTATTTTGGAGGGGTACTACCCAAAGTGGTATATGTTTAGGTACTGGCTTATGAGATGGCAAGTTGCTTGCTCCAAAAGTTGTCTTGTCCAATTTCTTCAGACCTTTCAGGTGATTTTGATTCAAACTTAGAGCTCATTGAAGTTACCAGTAGCCTTTGTCTTTTTGATCACTTGGGGTAGAATCTGTAGACACAAATAGGTTACATGCTATTACATGGAGTTAATTGAAGACTCTCCTTCTCAAGCCACCCTCTCTTTGCACCCTTTTTCTTTTCTGTCTATGTAGACCACAGCAGGAGGTTTTGTGGTAGCATGTTGGGAAAGCTGGATCTTCATGCCTCTATGTAAATGTGGCTGCATGCTTTCGTAGCATTCAGGCATAGAGATATGTGGCCAGTTCTGACTGCTTCCTTTTTGGAAAAGTTGGTCCTTGTACCAGAGCATGAGATTCCCAGGAGTGTTCTGTGCAGAAATTATAGTCAACCATTTCTGTTGTAGGTGACTGGTATAACTTTTCCATTCTAGCTTCTCATGTCATACAAGGTAGTGGAGTGCATATGTATTCACTCCATACATATAAAAAATCAAGCCTAGATAGAGGTGAGTGGCACTGTTAAATATTCATGAAAGTGGTACTAATCCCAATAAGCATGATGACCTTTTTCTTTATCTTATCAGAGAATACCAGCACTGGACAATATTTACTGAGCTAAATTTCTGAGTTTTTATAATCCAATAAATAGATGGGAGACTGGAAGATCCCAGGTCCTACTCAGTATTTGTGCCTTTGGGGTCATCTACATTGCTGTATAGTGTCCGCTGACTTAGTGGCAGATGGAGAGATCCAAAAAAAACCATCATCAAGTTACAATCCAATAGATCTTTTTGTTTTTTTCCCCAGCCTTGAGTATAAAGGACTTGTTCCAGTTCTCTGTCATGGGATATGCTATACTGACAGGGTCTGACTTTCTTGAAGCACCCCTGAGTTCAGAGCTTTTCTGTCACAAACACCCATGCATTTGGGGGTGAGACTTCCAGACTTTCAAGGGTTGATTTGTGTTGGTCACTTTCTCATGGAGCTTAGTTTTTTTTCTTTTTGCAAAACATCTCTCATGGATGCTGTTCTGTTTCTGAGAGGTTTGTTTCTCCCTGTGTGCTTGGATTTACGTGTTTATACTTATTCCTATTGTGTTTTGTTCTAATTAAGTCTGTGACTTCAGAATGAGATTTTGATGTGATCGGTAGCCTCCTCCAATATCTTCTCCAAAGCATTCTGATGTAGGCCAGTTATTCTTTAAGTGAACAAAAATAAGACCAGAGTCGACTATTACTTCCCTCTGGCTGAGCTGACCTCAAACCATAGCTGCAAACCTGTCCTTATAAACTCTTCTTTAATCTAGATCCATGGCTTTCCAAATTTCATTCCTGTCATAAGAGCCCCCCACTCAGACCCGTCTCTAATTCTGTTTATTTTTACCCTGTGTGAAGGGCAAAAAGTATCTTATTTTCTTTCTCCCACCCTTTAACACTAATTTACTTGCATCTTACTCTCTCTCGTTGCTGGTTGGCCTCTGTTGCTTTATTACTGCTCCTCCCACTGAATGATTCTATCCAATCAGTTGGCAGGCAGAGCTCCGCACCTGCTTCAGCCACCAAGAGCGCTGCCGGCCTGGCTGAGCAAGGTACGTGGCATGAGTTGTCCTGTCTCCTGAGTGCCTGAACCCAGCCCACCCACCCACTCACTGCCAGTAGAAACCAGCATGCCAGTGTTTGCACACCCAGTAAGACCTCATCCATGCTTGCTGGCTGAGAAATTGGCATGCAGAAAATTTCATCTAACCTGGAACCATAACCATGGTGAACTTACTGAATTACTAACCAGAACTGCATGCTGGACACGTACAGGGTCCTGCAGTGAACCAGCACATGAGATTTGAGAGGAGACAGCTGGATTGTATGAAGTTAGTGCCTGAAACCTTGGTGAATGGGGGTAAGCAGATTAGTTTAAACAATCCAAATTTAACACCTTTAAATGCTCTCTTGGAAAGCTCGAAGGAGGTTTTTTTGTGTGTTCTCTCCAGAACTCTCTTGTACTGAGATGAAATGCATAGATCAGTGTTACCCTTCAGTGGCCGGTTGTTCTGAACTAATCCGTTATTGCGTTCTGTGATGACTTGGGACAGGTTTTCCCTCCGTTTCTGTTCTTTCATCTGGTATGATTTCAGACTTTGGAGGGACCTAGTCACTGTTCCTAGTACAGCAGAGGTGTCAAGGATGTGGCCTGCAGGTCATATCTGGCCCATGGAGCCATGTTATTTGGCTAGTGAGGCCAGAAATTTGATGGCACAAGGAACAACAACCCACAAGTTGGAAATGTTTGGTGTGATGAGTCAGCTGCCAGTGCTGTGGGACCTGTGGCAATTAACGTGGCCAGGATTATCAGGACAGGATTATCATAAAGCAAAGAGAAGGTGTTTCACTTGCTTTCCTGTCAGGCATTCAGCAATCTCCCTGTATTCCCCCAAACTGGAAGTTTAAGTAATCATTAAAAAAAAAAAAAACAACCAATCACACTTCCCTTCCAATGAAGCAATTCAAGAACGTACAAACCAAACAACTGTTCTTGAGAGAAGAGAGCAAGAGGAACTTTGAGTAGTATAGTCAGGGAAAGTCCACAACTTGTTTGGTGGTAGCATTTTAGTCCCATATAAAAACTCCCCTTTCATGGCCTCCGGCATATCTGGAGTGAACTCGCCAGCAATAAATAGTGGACAGTTTTAGGAATTTTTTGACTTGGCCAGATTTGTTAGAGTGGCTATTTTAAATTTTCCTCAAAGGCTGAAAACTACATGTGCCTCCAGGGTTGGGAGTGGAGAAGGAGGAAAAGAGCATTTGTTCTTCTCATCAGGAAGAACATCTTGTTAACTCAGAAATGGAAGAGCACTTTAAGCTACAAGCATAGTCCATGGATGCCCTCATATTGCTACAACATTAATTCACATAATGAAAGGGTTTTGTTAATTTCTTAATCATAGGAATAGTCGGGATAGTCATGAAAAGGGATATACTGTCCATATCCTGTGCCTGGGAAACTGTAGAACAGAAATGCAAGACCATTCTCTAAATCTCAGTGGGCATTCCTTTACAGTTCCTGGATTTTTCCTACTCTGTCTCTTTGCAGATTTGAATGTTTGGTGGTGTTGTCTCTGGAGTTTTTAAATACACTTTTCATTACAGCCAGTTTTGTCTATGTGTTGCTAGCTGTAGAAATCCTACCCAGTTCCTCTTTAATTTGTTTGGTATTGTGTACAGATTGACCAGTGAGTAAATCCGCATCTGTCCTTCCCATCATTTAGTATATTTGCCACCTTTTTGGTGTGTGAGTGCATTTCTTAGACTCTCCCAGTGTCCTTACAAATCTCATTATGGGGTATGAGCTCAGTGGTCAGCACATTGAATTTCTTTCTGCAGTGCCAGGCCACCCATTGGTAGGGCTGTGTGAAGCTTTGGTCACTGATTCAATTCGGAGGAGATTCAGCCCCATTTGGCGGCTGAATCTCTGAATCCGAATCGAATCAGGGGACCCATAATCTCTCCAAATTGAATCGGAAGCCTCTAATTTTGATTCAGAGAGATTTGATGATTCGACTATAGACACAGCTTTATGGGGGGGGGTTTTCTACGTACCTCAAGGTACCAGGCACGGCTCGTAAACACTGAGATGGCACGGCAGAGTCAACCACTTCCAGGTCCACCACCAAGTGCATGAGGGGACCTCCCCTCCACACTCCCGTGGGACGCTCCATCTGCCTCACCATCTCAGTGTTCATGAGCCACACCTGGTACCTCTAAGTACGTAGAAAAAATGCATAAACTGTGTCTATGACTGAATCACTAATTCTCTGAATCAGAATCGAATCTTCAGATTCGGCCTAATAGAGTCAGGACAGTGATCCAAATCAGCGAATCAAATCACTGCCCCCCCCGAATCAGGCCAAATCCGAATTGAATACTGCCCACTTCACACAGTATTCCCTACTAGTTGGATTGTTGGTGCAGCACTGAGATTTCTGTGGGTACCTTGGGCATGTGGGCAGGAGGGGGGAGGCTCTTTCTCTTGGAACTCTGGCCGGCGTTACAGGGTGCGGGGTCAGGGGGGAGGCTGAATTGATAGTATTAGTGTAACTTTCGCAGGGCATTTTACCTGTGTCTTCAGCACAAAGGTAAATGTTAACTTTCATGGGAAGCTAGGAAGAGTTTGAAGTATCGTTTGATTTCCCATCATGTGCCTAGGCCCCTGGACATGAGGCAGCAGCATAGCCCTGCTCCAGTTTTGTATTCACCTTTATTGCTTGCTCATTCATGATATTTGGGAAATTGCAGAATCTGTGATTCTAGTGACATTTGCTTCCCCCAAGATGTGTTTTTTAAAGCAGCAAATGTTTCCTAATCGGAAAGCAACTACCTCAACAAATGTTTTGTGAGTTAACTTGAAACATGTAGAATCCCTCTGAACTCCACATCTGCCTTCAGACTCATGGTGTCTTCACTGCATGGAATGGAATCGCCCCCTGCTCCCACACTGAAAGTGTACTCAGTGCTCAGGTGGGGAAGGATATTTCTCAGATTCTCTCCTGTGCTGGT